TCTATTTGTTCAACAACAAACTATAAATGAGCAAGTAGATATAATTCGAAATCAGCAGGATTTTTCCAATGAATTGGTAGAAAAAAACCAGACTCTTCAAGACCAGTTAGATTTATATCATACTGAAAATTATAGATTAACAGAATCCATAATTGGTATTCAAGGAGAATTATTGGAAGCTCAGCAAAACTTTGAAGACCAGTTAATAGATTATGTAGAAGTATCTGAAAATTTTGTAGAACTGGAAAATGAATATAACGAGTTAAAAAAGCACTTGTATATTTTAGGTTTAACATACTGTATGTTGGAGCCAGATACAGAGCTTTAAATAATTTTTAATGGATTTATCGATGATATACTATTTATAGAAATAGAGCACATCAAGCCGAAAGAGGTTTACAAGAATGTCATGCTAATGGAGCTATGTTAGAATATTGGCATGATCAACTTATAACCAGATATCAGAAGTGGAAAAATAAAAGCATTATTATAAGATCTCATAAATTATATGGGCGATTAACTATCTGAGCACAAAGAAGACGTAATGTCACATTATTGACAGAAAAATTTGCACAACGCCAATTAATTTTGAATTTACGTGGAAAAATTTTTACGCTTCAGAATAATCTACCTATAAATAATCAATATAGAGGAATGGCAGATATGCACCACCCCTATTTTACGGAAAAGCTGGAGAAGATCCTGAAGAATGGATTAGAAATTTTAGACAATATTGTGAAGCATCAGGGCTTGATCCACTTGCAGATACTCGAACCAGAGTAAGAATTCATGGACTTTTTAAGACTTGTTTAAGAGATGATGCAAAAGATTGATATGAAACTCATCTCAAAAATAAAAATTGTGAATTGCAAAATATTAACGACAATATGGGTCTTGCAGATCTTGGTGCCATCAATGGATTGGCTAACAATAATGCATTGCGTGCTATTAATATCAATCAGTTTAGAGGTGGAGCTCTTCAAATAAGAAATACTGTTCCAGCCAATAATAATGCAATCGCCATATCATTAGTGCTGACACATACTGTTTTCAATGAAGACTGGTTGATATCTAGTGAACAACCAACAGATCTAATCCCAAATGCTCCCAATGCTAATACAGGAGGTAATACTATAGCTCCAGGAATTCGCATCAGACAGGTACTATATTGGTTTAGAACCAATTATCCCACAATAACTGCCGAAAAATCAAAAGTGGTATTCCATAACATTATTCAAGGTACTGATCCTATAGGTCGTTTTTACGCAAAATTGAAAAGAATAGTTGGTCTTGCCTATCCAGCACTTCCAGCATTGAATCATGAAGAAATGGTTAGACAGCAATTCTTTCAGGGTCTTTCTCCTGATAACAAAATAGAAGTAAGACGTATTGGTCTCGAATATCCAATTTCCACTTTACTACCAAAATTAGAAGAAATTGAAAGACAGAAAGCTGAAATGATGTTAGATCAATACGATCCCAATTCTCATCCAGTCATCTCTCATTCACAATCTATAGCTAATACAAAAGATTCTTATATAACAAGTAATATAGGTATAAGTAAAGATGAAATGGAAAGCTTTATAAAATCTATAATGGCATCTTCTTAATCTCAACAAATACCCATTCAACAATCTCAACAAATTACACAATTAACCTCTCAATATAGACCACAATCTGCTGGGACATATCAAACTTTATAGGATAAGAATATTGGTAGATTGATACAATGGATTACTGGAGAAATTCCTAATTTTATTCCTGTTCCTAAGCCTTCTTTGCCCCCAAAACCAATGAAAAAGATAGTTGGAATTAATTCTGATGAAGAACTGACCAATCTAACACAAAAGCATTTAAAATTACATGCAGCCAGAGCTGTTAAAAAAGCTATGAAATCACAACGCCATTGCTCAAAATGTAATAAAACTGAACATAACTTTCGCAAGTGTATCCGAAAAAAAAGCTCTAAGAATAGATCCAAAAAGAGTGGTAATATCAATAAGGTGGTTGTGGATTCTAACTCTAGTTCAAATACAAACTCTTCTGATAACAATTCTTCAAACAATAATTCTAATTCTGGAGAAACTTCATTTGAATCTGAATCTGAAGCTGAAGCTGATATAAATGTCAATATCACATATTTAAAAAAAAAGTAAAGCAGAAAAGTAAATCAGCATCTAAGAAGAAGCCCAAATTACAAAAAACAAAAAAAGATAGGTCTATCTTTAATAAAGTACAAAAGAGTTCAGGTACAATTATTGATAAACAGATCCAAAAAATGATTTTAGATATGTTTAATGATCCAGATATAATAAAAATGATTAAAAACAATATCTTTAGTTTTACTAAAACTTCTACAAATAATATAGTTCCACCTATTACGAATTCAGATTTTACGAATTATCGAGAACCAGTTCCAGATATACTTGAGTCAGAGAAAGAAGAGATTATAAATGATCCTATGGAGATTGATTTTGTTCAAAAAAAAGATCTAGCTACGGATGTGGTAACTACAAAATGCAAAATTAAACGATTAGTAATCCCGGTGGCCACAGTAGACCCTGATACAAATTTTTCAATTATGTCTGAAGATATAGCCAAACGATTAAAGTTGGTAATTGATACAAAAGAAAAACACGATCTTAGAGGTATCGCTACTACTCCTACAGAATCTCTTGGAACTACCCGAAATGTAGCAGTAGACTTTATTCCAGGTTGTACTATATGTTCCAATTTTGCAGTAGTTAAATATCCCAAACCTATGCTAATTTTGTCAAATACTCTCCTAGATAAATATGATTATGATTTGCTCGTATCAAAACAAGAATTAAAACTCATATGTAATGGTAAAGAGTATTTTATTCCAATAAACATGCATAAGGTCAAGAATAAACTCGAAGTAAATTGTACTATTGCAACTCAAGATGATAAGTCTTTGGTATCTGATCAAATTTCTCAAGAGGTGGAATGTAATAAGGATAAAAATGTACCATTCGAAAAATGGTATGCTCCTGCGGACTTTAGCTTATTGCAAAGCAATGGAGTTTCGCTCCTAGATTCTACAACATTAAAAAAAAATACATAAATTGTGAGAGGGCTATTAAAATTATTACTGAGCTTAATATTCGTAACAGACTTTTACAATCAAAATACGAAACTATGAATAAAAAAAAAACTGATTAAGAATTGCTGGAAGAAGATACAAAGTGACTATTTAATATATGATCTGAACCTTCTATTTGTTTTTCTCCCTCATTTAATACTTGTTCGAGTTGGGTATCACTAATAGTGGAAAAATCAGAAACTTGAATAGATTTGGGTTTTGATTGCCTCTTTTTTATCTGTTGATTTGAAGTTTTAACTGAAATGTGTAGGCTTGAAGAGTCATGATTCAAAGAAGAGACAGAGTTTCGAATCTCCAATTCATCGTCTATTGGCCTATTCTGTAATAAAGGTATATATTTATCTTCTAATTGATTATTTATTGCGAAGCAATGACCCTTCAGGTCTAGAGATACAGATGTTATTTCGGGAGAAATTGTACTTTGTACCTGAGATGGATAAGAATCTATCATTTGCTGTTTACATTCCCGATTCTCAATATATTCTTTGGCTCAAGAAACAGATATATGATATTTTTTTGCCATTGTATTTATGGCATCAGGTATCCTACCAAATGATGTTTTAATATCTTTAATAACCTCATCTGATAAATATCTTGCATTAGCACTATAATATTCTTTATGAATACGACCCATATCAGAATATTTTTATTTATAAACTATTAAAAAAATAAAGAAAAATTTCAAAACATTTTGTTATAACTTGATATATATTAATATGCTTCGAAATATTTTGAAATATTTGTGTATGTTTTAGAATATTTAAAATTTTTTTAATATATGTAAACATTTGTACTACCGTATATGACCGAAAATAAGAAACCCAAAAATAGAGGATTTTTTCTTAAAAAATTAAAGAGTATCTTATTTTCG